TCTCTCTCTCTCTCTCTCTCTCTCTTTCTCTCCGTCGCCCTCTCTCTCTCTCCGTCGCCCTCTTTCTCACTCTCTCTCTCTCTCTCTCTCTCTCCCTCTCTCTGTGTGTCTTTTCCTTTCTCCGCTTTACTTTCTTCATTTTTTGCAGTCTAAAGCATTGCATCGACCTCAGTTCCATCTCTCTTTATTTGCCGTCTGCAAATGAAAAGCTGTTTTCGGGACGAAATCAACATAAAATTATTTACCGACTTCGTTAATAGTGTATTACAATTTAAGCTTGGTAATCAACTCCTGTTTTCAACAAACTAGGCTTTCATGCCCAACTCAGGATATCGATTTTAAAAAGTACGGATAGAAAGAGCGGTGTACAAAAGGAAATAACAAAGAGCGAATGAGGATGTTAAAAAAAATATTCGTAAGCGACAAGAAAGCGAGGTGTTATTAAACCGCTATCTAGACTAAATGTATTGGCGAGATCGAGATTTCAAGCCAATGCGATCATCGTGTCGTTTTAAGAAAGAAAGGTTAATCCTCCTCCCACCCTCTCTCGTTCTTATTGCTAATCGGACGTCAAAAAGATTCTAGATAAAGGCAAAGATAGTACATAACAAGATGGGGCACTCAACCAAAAAAAGTGTCCCCCGGAAGTCCGCTCTTTGCTTCTGATGGCGCTGCAGTCTGTTTTGAAGTTCTCTTTCGTTTTTCCAGAGGAAGAATAGGAATAGCATCTCCTTGCGTGCGCAGATCGACTGCTGTTCATCATAATGACCTCTCGCCTTTTATTCTAAAGTCAAATTAAACGAAGAAAACAATCACCCCTTGTTTTTTGTCAGCGTAACCATTTAAAAAATGCGTTCTTCCGAAATTTATCCGAAAACTTGCTAGTTTCACTTTGGTTTTTTAAACTCAAGTAAGGTAACTGTGTTCGCAAAGGGTGCGCATTTGCGAAGAGGGCGCCACCGAATTTTGAGGACACTTTTTTAATTGGCTCAAAGAGAGTGGCCCCTCTTGTTATGTAGACTCTTTGATAAAGGCTGAGGTCGTCCTTGACGCATTTT